ACATGGAGTTATCTGTAAGATTAATTTCCAAGTAAAGCTTTCAGGAACCATGCTAGCGGTTTGGATAAACAACATTGGCAAAAGTAAATTTTCTGCCTGAAGAAAAATATTCAGCTGCATTTCAGGAGGAATAAAGGTCATGTCGCATTGACAGAAAATCTTTGTGACTATTCAGACTACACTGGAGAAAGAGAGCCAAATACGGGTTACAGTTTGAACTGCAGATAACGTTTATGTGCTTGACATCAACATATAAAGTCTTCAGATAGAAGATTTGTGCGAGAAAAATCAGTGAGAAAAAAATGTAAACTCCTAGCCAACAAAGAACCTCATCAACAATAACAATTGGGAAACAAATGAACAAAACCCCAAAAGGTATTCTCAAAGTGTATTACTTTGCCAGTTAGGAGTTGAAGGCATATGTTTTGAATTTTCCATCATTTTACTTGTAGAAAGATTTGGAAGCAGAACTATTTTATTGAAATATAATGCTGGATTGAGAAAAGTCCATTTCAAAAGGGAGTAGTTAGCTGGAAGGAAGGGCTTCATCCGGTCAGCGTTTGGGTAGCCAGATCTGGAGAGTGAGTGACTGACTTCCTGACTGTAACTGGAGAATTCGGGATGACTCAACCACTCGGCCAGGTCACCAGGGTGCAGATGGCACAGGCCAGCAGAGCAAGAACTCATGACTCCTAGAGTTCTGAGTTAAGTCCTTCGTAGGGGGCCTAAAGTGACCCCAAAGCAAACGTGGTCCAGATCCCAGAGCATCTGCTAATGGATGGGGAAGTGAAATATTGCATATGCGTCCTTGACAGCAAGTTTTCCTTTTCTGCATCATGAAAAGCTATTCAAGCCAACCGCCGTAACACAGCATTAAAATACTCTAGCCCAGTGCATCTAGCTGGCCAGGGGCCTGGCTGAGGAAGTTACCTCCTCCCCCAGGATTGTGACAGTCACATCCTGACTCCACTCCAGGTCCGGCAAGAGCGCACAGGACTGTGGGAAGTATGTCACTTTGGCAGAATCTGTGCTCTTGAGTCAGCATCTTACAATAGCCAGACAGCGATGAATATTTAATAAATGAGAGAATGGAGTGACAGATGAGGATTTCTGCTCTCCAGGTCACAGCCCGAGCTCTAGACAGGCAGAACTGCCTGGAGTTCCCTGGAATGGCCCCACTGTTCCTGTGCGCCTTGACCTCTTCCCTATGCCGGAAATACCCTTCCTCTCCCACCCCTGGCAAATGACTACTCCAGGGCAACCTCATCTATGATGCCTTCCTGGCTGGCTCCACCCTCCAGGCTGAGCCCCCTCTCTCTTCCATGCCCCACCATATCACAGCCCTTACTACAGCCCCAGGACTTAAGTGTCTTGCTCACTAGTCTGTGAGCTTCCTGCGAGCTCAGTCACATCTTATTTACATAGTTTCAATTTCCTAGGAACTGAGCATCGAGCATGCTACTGCATGTGATGTGTCACATAAAATAGACAATAGGCCATGTTAGAGGACAATATATCCATGGGGTAGGCACAGTCCTATACCCTTTTTACAGATAAGGTTCAACATGGTTGGATAACCTGCTGAAGGTCGCCCTGCTAGTAAGGGGTCTGTTCAATGCCTGTGGCAGGCAGAAAAATGGCCCCCAAAGAGGTCCACGTTCTAATCCTTGGAACCTGTGAATATGTTACCATACATGGCAAAAAGGGACTTTGAAGATGTGCTGAAGTTAAAGATTTTGAGATGGGGAGATTATCCTGGATGATCTGGTCCAATATAATCACAAGGCTCCTTATAAGAAGGAGGCGGGAGGTTCAGAGTCAGAGAAGGAAATATGACGACAGAAGCAGAAGTCAGAAAGAGACAAAGATTTGAAGATGGTATGCTACTGGCCTTGAAGACAGAGGAAGGGGCCATGAGCCAAGAAATGTAGGCAGACCCTGAAAACTAGAAAAGGCAAGGAAATGGATTCTCCCCTAGAGCCTCTAGAAGGAAGGCTGTCTTGCCCACATCTTGATTTTAGGACTTGTGACCCCAGAACTATAAGATGATAAATTTGTGTTGCCCTAAGCCACTAAGTGTGTGGTAACTGGTTACAGCAGCCACACAAAACTCATACAAGCGCCCTTGAACTAGACAACGAGGCAGCCACACGGATACAGAAGAAAAGGAACACACTGTATTTGCAAAGGGAGTGGCTCAAGGCACTGCTAAGAAGCCCCCTGGCACGGAGGGCCACAGCTGGTTCTGGCATACATGGTCTCTGCTTTCCTGAGGAAGTCTGCGTGGTGATTTGAACTACTAAGAAGGGCTTGGCTGAGGCAGACTAAACCCCAGGAAGTCACCAGCCTGCGATGCCTCCCCTCCACGGTCCCCATGTTTGTCGTTTCCAGGAACTCGGAGCATCCCTGATGCCAGGGATGTATAGTATATGTGCAATCACCCCCTCGAGGCAAACCCACCACTGCCCGGGCAAAGGCCTCCTCAGTCACCAGAGTGAGGGCAGGGAGGGGAGAGGCGAGGCAAGCCGGGAGCTCCTGGGCAGCAGTCCCTCCTCGGGAGATGGCGTAGGTTCCCGGCAGTCAGGCCTCAGTCCCCACCCTCGGTCACAAGGATGTCGAGAGTTCAAAGCAGGTAACATCCTACTGCTCTTGCTTTTGAAAGCTCAGTCCATGAGTCAGGTCGTCAGTTTGTCTGCCTGTCTGGCTCTCTCTCTCTGGGCAGGCAGCTTGAGAAGGACTAACCCGATGAGATAATAAACACCAGCCTCGGTCACCATGAATCAAAGGCATGCAGCCAGCTGAGTCACACAGTGGCGGTGGCTCAGAGAGAGCCGTGGAGCTCCATCTGACCTCACTTTGGAAATGGGGCCAGATGCTATAACGCAGCAGGGCACCGAAGAGCACATTTCACTCCAAAATCTCCAAGTGCTATGTGTGCTCTGGCCACGGAACGCTCCTTGGAAGGGAGCATTATAACGTCTCTTGTAACTCAAGATGGGGAGATTATAGAGCCGGGAGAAAGGCTGGGAAGGGATGGCCACTAGGGATGCTTTAGGCCATGAAGATTGGGTCTGCAGCAGTAGCCCCTGTCCCAAAGTGACCTCACTTGGCTACAAGGCGTCTGAGGTCACTAAACATTCAGAGCCCATCCAACCATTTCACACATGCACAGCGAGTGCCCACTTTGTGCTTGCCACTGCAAGGCCTTCACCTTTAGACCACGAGACCCTACCCCAGCCCAGCAGGCGAGGAGGCTAGCGCTCAGGGCTCCTCAGATGAAGCACTAAGGCCCCAGGCACCACAGGCCTCCTCTTTCCACCTGCCCAGGTGCATTAACAAAGGCTGAGGAGCACTGGCAGAACTCCTCAGAAGGGGAGATAAACGGAGGCTGCATTAGCCCCTTGCTGCTGCATCCAGGCTGCTCTTTCCTCTCCCTCAGAAAGTTCCCTGTGCAGAGGGGCATCTTTGGCTGGCGGGGGTAGTGGGCTCTGTGACAGGACCCAGGCCCTGGAAACATCTGTCCTTGTTTTCCATACTTAGGTCATTGCTTTCACATCACATTTAAAACCCAAGCTTTGATGTTTAGTCATCATTTTTTGCTTTAGTTTACTTCCCTCATCACTCCTAAAACCAAAACCTCACCACCAAAGTCTGACAAAGGTCCGTATCGAATTTCTCCCCCCTTAGACGCATGCCTGAGCTTGCCTGGCTCTCTGCCTGGCTGACCACAGTGGCCTTACCACAGCTGGGGTCCCTGGCCAGAACTGAGGTCACCCCTGCAGCCAGCGGGAGAAGGAAGAAGAACGCCAAGACAGGCTGGGGCTGTGCTCTTGGAAAACACTCTCCGTGGATTCACTGTGGGAATCCTGGGAGCTGGAGACAGACGGCACATCCTGGGGTGAGGACCCCACGGGGCCCTGGACCTCTGGCCCAAGAAGACGGGGCAACAGAGGAGAGACACACAGGGGACCGGTTCTTCCCCCTTTGGCATCCGAGCGTCTGTTTAATTTTAGAGCTTCCGTGGAACTTTAGTTCAAGACCTGGCTCTCTGGGGTGACTGTGCAGCGTGGAAGTCACACATGGGCTTTGGGGCACAGTGGCCTGGGGTCAAATCCCAGCCTTACAACCTCAGGAAACTGACCTCTGGCCTCTGAATTTGAGCTGCGCCTTCTGTAAAACCATAGTCATTGTCTCTACCTCAAGGGTTGTTAGAGGGTTAGAAGGGACAAAATCACACCCAGCACCCAGCCTACCATCCCACACAGGAAGTGGGGAATGGACAGCCTGCAACTGACCCACCAGTGCAGCAGCGGCTTCCTGGCCACCGTCCCACCTGGGTGCTTTCTCTGGAACACACGAGTCCATCACTCCGCCTTCACAACCAAAACGGCAGTCAAGACCCTCAAACACCTGTCTCCATGTTCTTCCTCCGAGCTCCGGTGACCAGGCCCCTCACCCCAGCTGTCCCTTCCCTGTGTCCTCCTGTTTGAACGCTGGTGCGCCACTCCCTACATCAGGAGTGACCTCTCCCTGTCCTTCCTGGTACAGAGGACGCACCCATCACATCATGACGCGGCCGCCAGCCCCGCCACACGCAGTGACCTCCTCTCCGGCAGCCTCAGCTCCTGCTGGGGGTCCTCGTTTGACACTAAGCAGCACTGACACTGTCAGAGTGGCAGCGGGGAGTTCTGTCCATCTGTCTGCCCAATTGCCTGTTAAACTGAGGGCAGGCGGCATGGCTGATTTGTCCCTGTCACACCACAGGGCACACAGTTGGTGCTCACACATCTCTCGTTGGACCACACTGAGCTCCTCAGGGTGGGCTCTGGGCAGCGGCCATTCTGGCAGGCTGGGTGTGCACGGCCCCAGCCCTACCAGGGAGCCAGTCACTCCAGCTGAACGGAAGGTAGCTTTCGAGAGAGCACACCCCAGGGTGACACTTATGGAGAGTGAGCTCCCCAGCCCCACTGCTCTGTACCTAGCTGGTGGCGGCCACGTACCTGGTCCCCAGAGTGTGACGCACTGCTGCTCGTGGGTCTGACAGATGCCGTTGTAGCAGTAGCCGTCCACCCCCTGACACGGGTGCCCGTCATGCAGGTACACGTTGGCCGGGCAGTGGGGGCTGGCCCCTGTGCAGAACTCCGGGAGGTCGCAGGAGTTGCTGGAGTCCCTGCACGCTGTTCCTGCAGGCTTCAGCTGAAAGGAGAGGGCCGTTTATAGCACATGCGCTGCAGGGAAGGGGGAAGCACGTTCCCAGCAGTGCTCCTGGGGTGGAGCGGAGCAAGGCCATCCTCACAGAGCCTCAGATACAGACAGGAGTGAGGGTTTCAAAGGAAGCCCCCTTACAGCAGAGAGAGCTCATTAAATAAACAGTCTTGCTTGGGGTTCCCCCTTCCAGTATGTGGGGGCAACCAAGAGCAGCCTCTTTTTAATTTCATGCAACATTAGGGTTTTCTGATGAGCAGACAAGCTGGTCGCTGGCACCTGTCACCTCAGAGGAGGAGGATGGCGTGTTGCTGCTGGGCTCATTGATTCCTAAGAAGAGCTCTGGTCACCAACACCATCATGTGTTCTGAGATGATGTGTGCACTTACAGTGTTAGCATTTGTGGGCAAGTTGATAAAAATAAGTCCAAGTCCACAATCACAATAGCTATTTTACTTTGTCATCAAAATATAGAGCTGGAAACCTCTCTGTAGGACTTTATGAGGAGAGACAGAGTAGAAGTAAAGCAAGGGAGCAGTAAGGGATGTCAGGAACCATCCGACCAACACCTCATCTTTTTGCAGGTGAGGATGTTTAAGGCTCAGAGCGGCTTGTCTGAGGCTACGTAGCCAGCGACCTCCCCCCAGCCCACCTCCAGGCACCTTCCACCACCAACTGCTGGGTGCTGGGGGTTGGCTTCTCTTAACTTTCCACCAAAATTAATCACGAGTAGGAAGGGGATGAAGACTATTTTGAAGCTGAACGTAACATGTAATGCGCCTCTGAATCACCGTGCTCTAGTGGGCCAGCTAAGAGGGAGTTCCTGCAAGCAGAATGCCAAGATCAATCGCTTAATTAAAAAGAAATAAAACTCTACCCTTGCAACATTGGAATCAAAAGGTCACGCTTCTACTCTGTGAGATCTCAGCTCTGAATAATGAGACAAACAGAATTGCCAAAACAAATGCGGTCATGGCAGCAGAAATGGCCCAAGTATAAAACTGCCACTCTTGGCTGGGCTGGGTTGGGCCGGCCCCTTCTGTTAGGAGGACATAAGATCAAGATGTTTACACAAACCCCGGAGCAACCTGCACGGCTTCTCAGCCCACGAGGCAGATGGTCTTAGGATCAAGCAGAGGGACCCAGAGTAAGGCTGAGTGACGGGAGTGGAGACTTGCTCTCGAAGCCGTAGGTGACAGGACCGCACATCCAACAGCACAACTGGGACATTTAATGTCCAGCTTGAGTTTTTTGGTCTGATTACTTTTCAGCCCATAAATAAATTATCACAGATGACTTAGCAATTAAAATGTGCATTTCACATGAAGATTGGAAGATAATAAAAACAGGAGGTAGATAATACCAGTGTTTGTGATAAGGAGTTACAGTTTCCACAGCAGCGAATATCAGGAAGTCAGCCTGCCATATTGCTTGCCCGCGTCGGTGTTGAACCACCTGAGCCTCTGGGCGACCTTGGGGCCAGGTGGACTCACCTGGCAGTCTTTACAGCACAGCCCGTGTGCGCACACAGCGTCTGGCTTCAGGGTACAGGTGGTGGCATTGCAGCAGAGATTCGTACATTCCTGGAGAGGGGAATTTGTTCGACAGGGTCATATGGAGCAACTACTTGCTGAATGCAAACGTCGCACCTTAAGTAACTGTGAAAGGGAAGAAAGAACCAGAGGGCCTGGCTCTTGAGCTGAAAACCAGCCTGACTGAGGATTATCTTCATCTGTAAGAAAGCAGAGCTTCTGTTAAGTGTTTATGAACTGACTGAGTCTGAGAGGCCCTGGGAAAAGTCAGCAGCACTCGAGTGCCTTTCATGACGTCTTTCATGAAGGAGTAAGGGACTTGGCCAAGAAGGCTGGCGAGGATGTTCATTCAAGTCAGCAGGATGCTGGGGCTCTGTAGGGGCGTCTCTGATGACTGCAAGTCTTACTGCAATGAACTGGATCAGGATCACTGGGGTACTTTTTCTTACTTATTTAAAAATATACATAGCTGCGTACTAACTTGACCCTTCAAAGACTGGTCCTTTTGATCTAGAGTGTACTGGCAGGAAATGAAATCAAGTCAATTGTGTTGGAACCACGTTTCCCTGAAATTCAACCAAATGCCGTAGATGAGACCCTTACTCAGCACGGGTGGGCTGCCTGACCTGGCAAGGCTCTCCTCAGATCAGCAATGCACATTAGAATGACTAAGAGGCCAGAAAGAAGTCTGGGGGCTGTGCCCATTGGTTTGCAAGAGATTTAAAGAGATAGATCAAATATTAGACATACTGTCCTCTCTGAAATAAAAATGAGAAAGGAAATTAACTCCTTTATTATCCTGTGCTTACAAGTACCCAATTTTTTCTAAGAAAAAGAAACAAGAGATTGACACCTTTTGCTTAGCTCTCAACAAAAGGCCTATACACATTTATCTAGTGTATTTATGAAGTCCTTGTACTTTAGAACATTCCAGTAACTTGGAGCTTACACATTTTGAAATAAATTGAATCATCAGAATAAAGAAGTGTTCATAGAGTCTTTAGTACTAATTAATTTATCAATGTCTTTTTATTTTATTCAATATATCATATATGCTGAGAAATTTATACACTATCGGCTAGAGAGAAGCCAATCAAGCACTAGCTTAATTGTATAATAATTTACTCCGAAAAATCATCTTTTGTGAATGAATTTATCATTAGTATCATAAATGTAATTAATAAAATTTTGTCAATAATCCAGAAGATTTATGGCTAACCTAGATATCTGAGCTGTATCCTGTGTAAAACTCTGAATGGTGCTCTCATTTGGTGCTTACCATTTTCTCCTATTATACATACAGGCAAAGTTATTAAATTTGTTCAAGGACTTTATAAACATCCGGAGTATATAATATATACAATAAGATAAAACTGCCAACCAGAAGTCATAGCTGTAAGTTTCATGACAGTAAGGGTTTTTAACTCATGGGCTTACAATCCTAAAAAGTTTAGGAACTTGCTTTGTTTTTTTAATAGTCCATCAATTGCACTCCTGCTCAGTGTCAACAAAGGTACAGCAATGTCATCCTGTCCATTATGGTCTAAATGGCTCTACTAATGACATATTAACCAAATTACAGATTTCCTTGAACTTCTAAGTTAAATCAGCCATCCTAAAACTGAGTCCTAAGATCCCTTAAGAACTACCTCCCCACCCCCACCAAATCACTAAATAATATAAGCAGCAGCTCAAATGGAAATGCAGCCAAGTAGAATGGCTTTGACTTCAAAGGGGATTGATAATGTGAGAAAGATAACTAAGTTTAAAAGATATTTGCAAGCTACTGGCATCTTATTGACTTTAAACACGGAGATAAGGCTGCTTTCCCAACCCTGTTAGCTGGAAGAATGAGTGAGTTGTCAGGATATCCTTATGGTTGATGTAAATCCAATGCTCTGTACGGAAAGCCATCAGCAGTCACTTGCCTTTTTACTATCCAGAATCTATTTCTCCTGGAGCACTGTATTTATCAGAAGACACAAATTTTTCATCTGTTGATACATTTATTTTAGTAGTCAATAGAGAAGTTCAACAGAGCCAATGAATACTAAGTCTCCAAAGAAGAAAGACTAATGAAGCCATTAGAGAATTCTCTGCAAGTGCCCTAATTGTCATTCTCATGTTTTAGGTTGTAGACATAGATTCTTAATCACAACGAACTAGGATAAGACTATAATGCATCTTCTTGAAAATAGTGAGGATTATTTCTGGGAGCAAAGGAGCAGAAGCTGGTTCCAGTTGTGAGCTGGGGAAGTTGTTCTGACCTCACTCACTTACTGATGTAGTGACGCGCTGAGGCCCTGTATGGGCCGGGGGATGTGAGAGCCAATATGAAGCAAAGGTATGATGCACATTTCCAGGGCTGAGCACTGGGTAGGGGGAAAAAGAGCCTAGGTTGACGGGTCTGACTAAAAGTTTTGGTCAAAGCAGTTTAGAACCTGGAAATGGGCTGTCACACTGCTAGACATGGTTTCAGCTTCAACTTTGAAAAGCAAAAGATAAAAAAAAAAAAAAAAAAAGTGAGGCAAAAGGCTTGCCTGCGACTTTGAAAGATTTCTTGGAAGAAAGAACTTTGGATGAGGAGAATGAGAGTTCTCCTCAAGTATCAAGAACTTATCCTATGAAATAAGGACCCTAACCAAAGAAAGATAAAGTTGGGAATTACATGCAAGTGGAATTTGGCTTTATATAAGGAACGAGTTTGATTTAATCAAAGCTTCCCTGTAATGCAGCATGGTGGCTGGAGAGACAGCAAGCACCTTGTCAAACCTGAATGACCCCGGGATGGAGATAAAAGAGAGAATCACAAACATCAGTGGCTGGCAAATTTCAGGCACTCAAGTGTTTGCTGATATGATGCTGGCAGTGGTAATACTGGTGATGGAGATGATGCAGATGGTAGTGATGGATGTGGTGGTGATGATGGTGGTGAGGACGGTGGTGGTGATGCAGGTGCGGTAGTGGTGATGATGGTGATGGTGATGATGATGATGGTGGTGGTGGTGCTGATGGTGATGGTGGTGGTAGCAGTGCAGATGATGGTAGTGATGATAATGGTGGGGTGGTAATAGTAATGATGACGGTGATGGTGATGGAGGTGGAGATGGTGACAGTGGTAATAGCAGTGAGAGCGGGGGTGGCAGTGAGCTGGTGGTGGTGCTGGTATATAAAACAAATGACTGCTAATAGAGTCATTCCAAACCTGAGAGTTCATGGCTCCATGAAGAGCTGTCAAATTTATTTAGATTAATAAACAATTACAAGGAGTTCAAATCAAAGATAAACCATTTTAAGTCAACATGGCCTCTCCTGAGAAATATGTGTAATTTAAACTAGTTTTGTTTTTTTCTTGAAGTAATTAACAAGTCTCCAAGAAATTTCCCTTCTGCATACCCCATCCCATGATGGTTTCAAGTTTTCCTCCACTCATCTTAAAGAGTTTCTGTAACGTCATAATTAGGACTTTCTCTTGCACAGCAGCCACTCTGCCCATTGTGAGTAAAATTAAACCCCGCTGTGGACAGCGCCGCTATCACTGATGGATCCCGAGTTTGGCAAGGGCACAAAAACACTCGATAAAGCCACCTCTGTAACTCCCATCCCCAGTACGTATTCATGCCCAACATTTTTGCAGAAATGGTCAGACCGAGACCAAGATCAATCCTGCTGGTACGGGAAACTGCAGAGACTAGGAGATTGGGATATGATGAAGATGCTGTAACCAGTTGTTTGTTTGATGAACATAGGAGTTTGAGGGATGTCCCAGAGTCTCAGCACAATTTTCCTTCCACCCCAGAATTCCCCTTCAGAGCAGCCCTCCAAGACATGCTCTTCCTAAACCTGCATCAACCCCATGTACGAATTTAGCTAGGACCACCTTGAACTTGGCTACCATTTCAGCTTGCCTAAGTTCTCGGGGAGAGAATCCCACACGTAGACTGCCTGCTATACAACCTACTTGCTTTGATTTATTCTAAACACAACCTCCTCCAAGCTTTGAGGGGGCACTTGTTTTACCAGAAAGTCTCCCTGTGTCCTGACTTTCTCTATCCTTCTCAAGATTATTCAGAGATTAAAAAGTGGCTGTTATAATTTTTATGTTGATTAACTGTATCTTGGGCCCTACAGAAACGAGGAAGTTTCCTGACATTGGCTGGAAAATAGGGTTAAATAAGCCTTTTCTGGATAAAAATGTTCCCGGCTTTAACTTATTGCTTCAGAAAGCTAACAAGCAGAGGCAGAAGCCTGGAGCCTCTGATCCTGCACACAGAGGAGGCTGCAGCAGCAAGCGCAGAATTTCAACTCGGGAGGAAGCTCTCGCTTAAAAATGAATGTTGCTTATTCAAATTCCCCTCTGGTTGCATGCCTTACAAAGAGAAAGAAATGGTGCTTATTAGCCATTTGAAGCTAGCACTCCAAGGCTTTCTTCTCTGCCAAACTCAAAGCTCAATGCCTTTTCATTGCTTTTGTCCTCATCTCGCCGAAAATACCACGTCCTTCAATAGAGAAGATGCTTCCTCTTTTTAAACCAGTGATATGACTTATTCTGTGCAATAGTTAAAATTCAAGAAGGCCACCCTGGCTTGTGAGGCTTGTTCAAGGCGGCCATGCAGGACTTTCCCATCCTGAATTTCTAGCTCTTTCATTCTGCTGCACAGCTCCTCCAAGTTCTTGCTGCTTTGCCCAGCCGTGAACGTGAGGCACAGGTTCTGGAAATGGCTCTCTTACCTCCGGCTCCCCGCAGTCACACTCCTCTCCTTCCTCAACGTATCCATTCCCACACTTCTGGCCCCCGAAGGACTGCTTGACTTCTGGCAAGTTAAAGAGGCACATCCCCATGCCTTTCTCCAGGCTGGCCTCCAGGTCCTTCCTGCTGCAGCTGCTGAACACCATGGGGAACGGGTACCTGCGGAGAAGAGCCCAAACAGTCAGCGGTCAGGGCACGCCATGGTGCCGCTGTTCACGGTCCCCACTGCCGACGTCTGCCCAGCTGTCCACTGTTAGTCTCAGTGAACAAAGGCTTAACCACTCAGTGGAGAATGAGGCACTTCCAGCTACATCCTGAAACCCACCCCTGTACAGTGCCAACACCACCACCGAGAGGTGCTTTATCAAAAAAGAAATGATCTTTTGACAGTTTTCAAATCAGCAGGTTTAGACAGAGTGTCATTACAGACATTATTAATAGTTCTGTGTGAAATGATACAATGGAAATGAGTTCCTAGGCTCTGTAGCTTGTAATATGAACACATACTGATGTCCTTACTAGAAAGTGCAAAGAAGAAAAAAGGACAAATGACTGTGCTTATCAATTCCCTGGTTCCCTGGACATAACCCCCAGTGTAGGCCAGGGCCGGCAGATGCTGGCGCTCGGGTCTGCAAAGGGCAAATCGCTGTCTCCCCCAAGCACAGCTATTAGAGAATGCAGGTGGCCAGAAATGCGGGTCCTATTCTTGCCTCGAAATACCAAGGCTACAAAGGGATGTGGCCGAGTTGGCCAACTTCCCCACAAAGTTCATGCTCCCCCTTCCATGGTCTAAAGGGGCACCCTTGTACTGGGTGGGCTGTGTGACTAACTCTTGGCAATGGAACATGAGCAGAAGTGAAATGATGTGGGTCACTTCTGGTCAAAGGAAGTTAAGTGATTCTTCTTTATGTCCTTTCTTTCCCCTTCTGCCAGCTGAGCTCCAACAGGTATTCCGATGTCCTAGGAGATGGGGGGCCAGACCCCTTCATGACTCACCGTAGGGAGGGGAGCCACCTGCAGCTTGGAGCCCCAGGGTGTCGTATGGAAAGGAAACACACCTCTATTAAGGTAAGCCCCGGAAAACTGAGGGTTTGTTTCCTACATCAGCTAATGTTACCCAACATATATACTGTGTCTCACTCTCTTTTACACGTGCATTTTCCCATGTCTTGAGGTAGCAAGGATTAAAAGGGACAAGCATGTTGGAAACCCAGCAAGTTTTATTACTTACTGAGGAAGCAGGACATGCTGAAGCCAGCCCAAGCACCCTCTCCTCACACAGGCATTTACAGGATGACATTAAAATTGGATCCTAATCAACTGGTCAAACCAATGCAAGCTGCTACATTTCCCTGAAGACGGCAGACTAGCCGCCATTCAATGATCAAGTTTGGCAATATTTCGAGATCATGATGATTTCCATGGCCAAACTGGTAACATTGTCTTATCCTCCCCAAGTGTTTTCTATCAGTCTCAGGTTATTAACTCTGAAGTATAATTCTAATCTACAAACAAATTAATAAATGCAAGTCCTGCTCTTGGATGCAAAGGCAATAAGCCAGGACTTATCTGTAGTGCTGTAACAAAGTTCCTTTTGAAATCTTTATAACTTTCCTTGGCAGACAGATTGATTATTCCTGGTATGAAGATGATGCTGAATAGCTTCAAATGATGATCCACAAGAAAAACTGTAATTTTATCAATTTAGAAGGGCTTCATGTTGGACAGACAATGGTACATTACACAGGGAATTGACAGCAGTTCTTCTCTTCGCAAAGAAATAAGCTTCATCAAGGCACAGATCAGACTTTCTTTGACGTGTGGGAGTTCTCCTAGGAGTCATGCATGTCTCAGGGCCTGATCCGGGAGACTAAACATCATTCTCATTCAATGATACGCAACCGGTATTATGACGAACTCTTATCAGTTCATTCTGGAAAGGAACTAATTTCTGAATATGTTAACAGTTAATTAGGGAAAGACACCAGGATAAATCGTAAGCCTCATGAAGGGTTTATAGCAGGAACAACAGTAGTTGAGAGAAACCTGATGAAAGAGTGGTATGAATCACCCGGCCTCACAAGTGAGCGGAGAATGTCCACCAGCATCCAAAGACCAGAGGGCAGAGACTGGCTAGGTCACAGCACAGACAGGTCCTCCAGCTCACTGTCTTTCAAAATACATTCTGGGCTTTTGGGGGGGGTTGACATTAAAGAGAAGGATAGAAATAAGATGAACGAGATCAGTTTAAGTCCAGGATTTAAACTTGGGAATGTTTGGGAGAGGGGAACAGATCATTGCTGGCAAAACTGCATCTGTGTGTCTGTGCAAGATGTTGTCAGATGGAAACGTAGTTATCTGTGCAACAATAAATTTCTATTTCTCTTAGCTCTTTCCTATTCTGTTGAAGGACAAACCCCAAATGCTTTTAAAATTTGCTTTCATTTAATGGATAAATAATATCTGTCTAATTCACAGGTTTTCAACCTTGCTGCAAGGAACTATGTCCAGGCATTAATTCCTTGAGATGCCTCTGTTAATAACAAAGCCCCAGTGTTCTCCTCAGAAGCCAAATGCGGCACTGATGAAGCTGACACAGAAACCGGTCCTTTCTCAGAGTTGCTCACAGACATCACAGAGCACAGGCCACATGGCCTGTTCATCAGCGCACTGCCTGCCTTCAAAGTCAGTACAATAAAAACCTCTAGCAACGCTGGCCGTGGCTCACAGCTTCTGCCACGAGCACGTGTGAGTGGGTCTTCTTCTCTCCCATCTGGGTTCTTTCTGACTTGCTCAGTGAGGCCCCTTGGGAAGCCAGCAACCCTTTGCCAAACATTCCTGCCTTTTCCATGGACTGGGCCAGTCGACATTCATATCTCTGTGTGAGGGTAGAGAAACACCTCTGCCGTCATCCAAGAACTCTCCTTTGATGACAAATGGCGATGAGACCAACAAGTGTTTTGTATCTGTCGAGCACCTTTGCTGATTCCATCCTTTCATGATTTCTCATCAGAGAGGACAGGTGACTATTTCACTCTGACAGAGTATTCCCGAACCCTATTTGGGCATTTAGAGGAAGTCAGGCTTTAGAGGAAGAAAAGTAGAGCAACCTGTCACTCATCATTCAATTATTCTGCAAGTGTTTATTCAACAGCTACTATATGCCAGGCATTCTCCTAGGCTCTGGGGATACTGGAATGAACAAAGCATATAAAGAGGCAGCCGCCAGGGAGCTTGCATTCCAGAGGGGCAGACAGATAGTACATAAGATGAGGGAGTCAGTTAAGTGTGTTAGAAAGGGATGAATGTTAAGGAGAAACATAAAACAGGCAAGAGGGAGAGGATGTATGTGGGAGGGACTGAACTTTTAGGGACTGTGGTCAGGGAAGACCTCATTGTGGGGGGTGGCATTTGAGGCTCTCACCAGGATGTGAGGGAACAAGCTGTGGGCATATCTGGAGGAAGAACATCCCAGGCAGAGGGATGAGCTGGTGCAAGGGTGCGTGGACAGGCGTGACTGGCCTAGAGGAATTTGTTCAACAGGACAGAAGCAGGCTCTTCTTTCCATAACACATACCCAGAGAAGCCACCCCTTCTCCAGAGAAGCCCCTCAGCCACTCAAGGTCATACCAATGGCAAGAAGACCACCATGGAGTATCATTAAAAGGGCAGAGGGGGTTTGCCCTGCATGCACCAGGCACTGATCATGGCTGAAGGTATTTTTCATAAGAACTTCAAACACTTCTTATTTTCCCCTTTTTTAGCAAACTATTTTTGATTGACAAGCAGGGATCTGCTCATCATCTCCCTTCTTCTGCTGAGATCCTCTCAGCTGATTGGTGTGTAGCAAAAAGAGAATATCTAAAAATTGTATCTAACCCAATGGCCCTCCCCCAATAAACAGAATTTAGTGATCTAAAATAACTTCAAATCTCAAGAGATAAGGGAATTTGATGGTACCAAACATTAGATTCTTCTAATTATAATAGAATCATAATCTACACATATTTGGATATCTTCTACACCCCAAATAGCCACTGGTTGCACAGTGCCTAGTGCACAATAGGTGTCATTGACTACTGGCTTGAGGAGTCAAAGAGCAGTTCATTGGTTTGCATGAAAAATGTGCCAGCGGACCACGAGCAAGGCATGGAACCCACTCTTCAGCACAGCGTCAGGAATCCATGGACAGGATCTGTCTGCAAAACGATTATTAAGATTGCCATTTCTCCAACTCAGCCACATGTAAAATAACGACACCAGGAAGATGCCTGGCACAGGCAAGCTCGTCATCCTGCTTCCCAGGTGCCAACTCTGCCCCTGAACTTTTGATGAGAGCAGAATTGAACCTCTGGATGGTATTTTCGCTACTCCTTCATCCACCCACTCCCTCGAGAAGTAGTCTTCAAATGTCTATTATATTCAAAGCCTGAGGAGGATCCCAAGACAATTAAAACATAGCCTGAGCCCTTCCCACTGGCCCCTTGGCCGGCCTCTGCCAAGGCAACTAGTAGACATACCCACTCCCCACATTGCCTCCCCATCCATATAAATAAAATATAGAGATATATTTACATATATATAAAATAAATATATCATGCATGTTTATCCTTATAAATAATATAAAAATTATATAAAATTATAATGCACATAATTACATTTAATTGCTATATATTTATATATAATTTTGAATAACTATTTGTTGAGAGCCTGCTGATATGAGGGCCACTTTCTCATGGTAATATTTTTTCCTTTTTTATACTTTCTTATTTTTAAATTTAAATTTTCAAAACAATCCAGCAAGACGTATTATTATTCCCATTTTGCAAAAGAGGTGAAGGGACTTGTTTAAAAGTTCACAGAGAATTACAGAGACTAGATTTGACTCCAAATTCAGTTATTTAAAAACCCCATTTGTTTCATTACTGACTCCAGTTCAGCACTGGATTACCTGTAGTAAACTCTGGAAATGTGGACAGTGACCAATAAACCTTGATGTACTGATTTAAATACAAAGGATGAGCCGTCCATGACCCAACATACGACTGGACCAGACGTTCTCCAAGTGTGGTCCCAGCATCAGCATCACCTGGCAACTTACTAGAAATGCAAATGCTCAGGCCCCACCCACACCTACCGAATCAGAAAAACTCAGGGGT